ACAGTCTCCCATTCCATTAAGCAATTCAGTGGTACTGCTTTATGATGCTGATGAGAGACAATATTTTGCAGATTAATAAGGGCAATGACAGGCCTTTAATTTACTAATGTGGGATTGAGTAATAATGTGAGAAAAAACATTGAATTTCTGTGAAGAGTTAAAAGAAAATAATCCCCTGCTTATTGGTTCATTTTAAATTGAAATCAATGAAATTCTTCTAACAAAAGCATGAAATCAATTGTAAAATAGCATATAATTTGTGATCTGTATTATACATTATAGTTTATTTGACATTAATTGGTGAGGTCTCTATATGCTGAAGCACATTATCTTGTAACATATCTATGGATAATTCTTGTGGATCCATTTCTAAGGCTTCATAGAATGTTATGTTTTTCATGCCCACAATTGCCTACATTTGCTCTTATGCAAATAACCCAATCAAGCAAATGGAAAACAAGATGCCGTAATCAAGAGGGCTTGACAAACAGTAACCTTAGAGTTTTAGGGGAGTGCTCGGGATTTATGCTTGTACCTGAATTTGTTGAAACAATTGATCCATTATGAAACACTTGAATAGGTCAGTTTCAGACAAGCAGTTCAAATCAGATCAGAGGCAGCAAGTAATTGATGCTGGTTTGATTGAATTGTATGGTTTTGGTTGTTCATTGCCAGGAGAAATGCAGCCTTAGCTCTTCTAATAGCTTTGCAACTTCTGTCTCTCCCATTCTTCTAGCTACTTATCATGCTAAGTTTGAAAGAAAGGAAGGACCTGTTCAATACATGAATTGGCACGCAACCCTCCCTTTCCCTATAAGCAATACATGTGAATAGTCTTGAAAAGAAACATAGAAAAGCATGTTTCCACCTTGCTTTCCAAAGAACGCTGTAATATATTCCTTGGAATGTGGAAGAGTTCATAGTGTAACTGCAGAATACCGGCATTCATTGCAAGGTCAAAGGATCCCAGTGTTAAGGGAATAGTGAATTCAGTAAAAATACAGCAAACTCTAGGAGGTAAACATGCAATGAGTGTTTAAAAGTGTTATTGTAGCCAATTTCTGTTGTTGTTACATGCCGTCAACTCACCTCTGACTGAAGGCGATTCTATGAATAAGTAACCTCCAGGATGCATTGTCATTAGCAGGCATGCTCAGCTCCTGTAACCTTAATGTTGTGACTTCCTTCATGTTCAGGGTTTTTTTCCTGCTGTCCTCAACTTCTCCTAGCATTATTGTCCTGTCCAGCGAGTATTGTCTTGTAATGATGTGCCCAGAGTGTTATAGCCTGTGCTATTATTTCCGGTTCTTTGTTCGTCTTTCTCACTAGAGATCTTGGCTTGAGACATTTTGCTTGCATGGAAAATTAATATAATTGTCCTATAGCATCCAATCAGCAGGCGGAGTTATTCCGTATAGTGCGCGACCTATCTGGAACTGGTCTGGATGATAGGCCTCCCCCTAGTTTTTCACCTGACCAGTTTGCAGCCTTTTTAAAATCTAAAGTGGAGGCCATTCGATGGGACCTCTCTCCTTTTTTGGACACAGTGAGTCGAGCAGAGATGTCCAGCGCTCCGTCTTGCCCGGTAACCCTTGACTCCTTTCAGCCTGTCACGCCTGATTCTGTGGCCAGAGTGCTGGACTGCTGTTGAGCCACCACCTCCTCCTTGGACCCTTGCCCAGCCTGGCTAATCAAAGCAGCCAGGCCGCTAACAACAGAATGGGCCACTGCAATAATAAATGGGTCTTTCCTTGAGGGCAGGTTTCCCTCTGCCCTCAAGGAGACACTCATTAGGCCCATAAGAAAGAAACCTAATTTGGTGGTGCACGAAATTGGCAATTATAGGCCCGTCACCAATATTTCTTTCATGAGCAAAGTGGTCGAGAGGGTGGTGGCTGACTAGCTTCAGGCACATCTGGATGAAACTGATGCCCTGGATCCTTTTCAGTTGGGCTTCAGGCCATGCCACGGTACAGAGATGGCATTGGTCGCCCTGTACGATGACTTGTTGAGGGAGGCCGACAGCGGTAAAATTTCTTTGTTGGTCCTCCTAGACATCTTGGCAGCCTTCGATACCGTCGACCACGGTATCATCCTGGGGAGGCTCTCTGAGTTGGGTATCGGTGGCTTTGCTCTGGCCTGGTTCCGTTCCTTCTTGGAGGACCGCTGCCAGAGAGTGCAGCTTGGGGAGAGTATTTTGGCCCCGTGGAATCTCAATTGTGGGGTTCCACAGGGGTCGATCATCTCCCCAGTGCTGTTTAACATCTATATGAGGCTGCTGGGTGGAGTCATCAGGGGCTGTGGAGCATCGTGTCATCAATATGCTGATGATACCCAGCTCTATATTTCCTTTCCACCAACTGTAGGTGATGCCGTCCTGTCCCTCCAGCGCTGCCTGGGGGCCGTACAGCAATGGATGCAGGAGAACAGGCTGAGGCTGAACCCGGAGAAGACAGAAGTTCTGAGGGTGGGTGGCCCTATGGATGGTGGCTTGGGAAACTCCCTCATGTTTGGGGCCTGGCCCTAGCCGCGAAGAGTGGGGTCCGCAGCCTGGGGGTACACCTGGACCCGATGCTCACCATGGAAATGCAGGTGGCATCGGCAGTCTGCACCGCCTTTTTCCACCTTTGGCGGATTGCCCAGCTGCGACCTTACCTAGACACGGGGGTGCTCACTACCTTAGTACATGTGCTCATAATTTCTAGGTTAGACTACTGTAACCCGCTCTACATAGGGCTTCCTTTGAAGCTGATGCGGAAACTTCAAGTGGTGCAACATATCTCTCCTACTCTGGCCATGCTGCACTGGCTGCCCATCCGTTTCCGCATTGACTTCAAAGTGTTAATGCTTACATATAAAGCCCGAAATGGTTTAGGACCTCGATACTTGACGGAACGCTTACTCCCAACTAGTTCTACCCGTGTCACCTGCGCGAGCCAGGAGGTGAGGCTGAGGAGCCTGACACCGAGGGAGGCCCGGAAGGAAAGAACTAGAAATCGGGCCTTCTCGGCGGTGGCTCCTCGCCTCTGGAATAACCTACCTCCGGAGATTCACACTGCACCGTTGCTGGGTACTTTTAAAAACCAACTAAAAACGTGGATGTATAGGCAGGCCTTCCCTTCCAGTTAATTCCTGTCCTCTTTCCTTTTTTATTCTTTTTCTCTTTATTTGATTTATTTTGTATTTTTCCCATCGCAGAATCATTTAATTAATTAATTGTTATAAATTTTTCTTGAACTTGTTATCCTTTATGTTTAAGCCGCCTAGAGTGGTCGAAATGACTAGATAGAGGGGTATAAATGAATGAATGAATGAATGAATGAATGAATGAATGAATGAATGAATGAATGAATGAATGAATGAATGAATAAATAAATAAATAAATAAATAGCCCTGTACTCCTTGGCATCTCCTTTCTTGTGGACTGGAATGTATATTGAATGTTTCCAGTCTATTGACCATTGTTTTCTTTTCCATATTTGTTGGCATAGTCTTGTTAGGGTTTTGACAGATTCAGTCTCTGCAGCTTGGAATAGTTCTACCAGTATCCCATCTACTCCCTGTGATTTATTTATTTCAAGTACTTTGAAAGCAGCTTTCAATTCATTTTTTAAAACTTCAGGCTCTTAATTATAGGATTCTTCCTCAAAGAACATCCTTTTATCTCTTATGCATAGTTCTTCAGTATATTGTTTCCACCTTTTCATTTTTAAAAATCCTGATACCGTGTTTCCCCCAAAATAAGACAGGGTCTTATATTAAATTTTTCTCTTAAAAAAATGCATTATGGTTTATTTTCAGGGGATTTTTTTTCATGTACAACAATCTACAGTACATTTATTCAAATACGGTCTCATGTCATCTTCTTCTGGTTGCTGCACAATGATGGAGGGTGGAATTTCACTTAAATGGGGCTTATTTTGGGGCTAGGGCTTATATTACGAGCATCCTGAAAAATCATACTAGAGCTTATTTTCAGCTTAGGTCTTATTTTAGGGGAAACAGAACAGATAATATATTATTTGTTCTGGGTTTTTCAGGCTCTTTGACCGTGTTCTGAAGGTTGTTCTTCCTGATGTTTTGCCAGTCTCTATGGCCGGCATCTTCAGAGGACAGGAACCTCTACTCTGGTGTAGTTGGCTTGGGGGTGCAGTATTTATGGCTGTGAGATAGGCTTTTGTCTTTTCCTGTTGATGGGTGATTAGTGTGTATTGTTGTGGGTGTATTGTTGTGCTAAGGGTAAGAGATTATCTGTTCCTGTGGTTGATGGGTGTCATTAGCTGGTCTTTAGTGTGTAGTGATCCCCTGTCCTTGTGGGTGGGTAGAGTTCGTTGACCTTTTGCACGTAGTATGTTCGATAGCTGGGAGCCAAGTTTTGTTGAGCTTCATATTTTCCTCTTTTTTGTTGAAACTGTGCTTGTGCTTGTGGATTTCAATGCCTTCCCTGTGCAATCTGACGTAGTGATTGCTGGTGTTGTCCAGTATTTCAGTATTTTGAAATAGAATTTTGCGTCCAGTTTGTTTCAGGGCATGTTCAGCTACTGCCGATTTTCTGGAGTGTTTTAGTCTGCAGTGTCTCTCATGTTCTTTGATTCTGGTGTGGATGCTTCGTTTTGTGGTTACAATATATACCTGGCCACAACTGCAAGGTATCCGGTATACTCCTGCGGTGGTGAGGGGGTCTCTTCTGTCCTTTGCTGACTGTAACATTTGTTGTATTTTTGTGGTGATAGTATATTCCCTTTCAGCATTCGTAATTTTGGTTTAAATTTTACTTTGATTTCTTCAGTCTTCTGAGATCGTCTTATTTTCCTCTTAATGTGGCCAGAGCCCAATTTTAACAAATTCAGTTGAATTTTGACTTTTTTTGTAGTATCTAATACAAATACACAGTCTCATAATAAAATAATGAGTTTTGGAGCTAGAAAAATCAATTTAATAATCTTTTGAAAATCCAAATGGAAAAAAAAACCCTTTTAACCTCTTTTATTTATTTGCAGATTTAAGAGTTTTTACAGCTTATCAGTTTCTTATCACTGCCTGCACCATTGTTGGCTGCACAAACAGTTCCCAAGTCACCTTGTTTACAGCTCAGTTGCCACCAACTCATGTGGATGCACCAGTTCTGACAGTTTTGGATTCTAAAACAATATATGCACAGTTAAGTACAAATTTTCTCTTTCACTAGTTTTATTGGGGTAGATCAATATTGACTAGGACTGCTCTTTTTGAGTGATCAAGGTGCAGGCAATAGCAAGGGAAAGGGCTTCCTGGAATTCCCAGACTTGCCTGATTAGACAAATCAGCAACAGAGTTTAAGATATAAAATATAACTTATTATGATTAAATGCATAGAAATGATTAATTTAGTAGCTTTGTGAACCTTTGATTATCACTTACCTTCTTAATTTCCATTTTGTCTTCATGCAATCAGTGTAACCTACATATGGCCAGAACTTCAGCACAAAGCTTTGCATGGGAAAATATGCTTGTGATATGATGAGTGTTTCACTTTTACCCTAAGATATTTCCATAATAATTTGGACTTCAACTGCACAAAATGGGTAAAATCAAACACTAGATTTTTGAAATGAACCCAGGAAACAGGTCTTCCTAGGACAAGACTAGACTGAGGGAATTTGGAGCAATCCAGGTCACACTTAAAAGGCTCTTATCTTTGGTGCAATTAATTTTTATTTTACATTTGAGTGATCCTTCCATTCATGTGGGATATGTTTCTTCTCCCATAGAAAGGAGCCAGACAGCACTTCCGATCACTCAAATTTCTCCCTTTTGATTACTGATGCCCCCTTTCTCTGCCTTTTGTTGTGGCTATTATTCTGCAGGCAATGGCAACCTCCTGCTTTTGTTTTTGTTTAATTTAAAAAGTGGCATAGCACTACAGTAATACATTAACCTAGCATGGATATTCCATTATATCTGAAATGGTGCTGCACCACTTAGAAGAATATTTTTTAAAAAATTGCAAGAAGAAGAGAATAGTGAAGGATGGTTTCTCCTCCATCCTATCTATTATTACAACCCATTGCATATATCACAAGGTTATTACTGAAAAGAACACTGCCCACAGCTCTATTAGGGAGTGAATTAATAAACCACACAAACTGAAGAATAGGATAATCAGGAGCACTCCCAATCATACAAAATAAACTGCAGTCCTAGTGCTATGCCAGAAAGGAGGAGAATGGCTGGATGGATCACTGGAAAATAGGAATTATCAAAACACACCACAAGCAAACCAAATAGTGAGCTGCATGCTCGTCCGATCACCCCCTTGGTCACTTTTAGTAACTTTTCACCTTTTAAGTTATTATCATAAAGATTTTCTTCTTTAAACTACTGTGTAAGTTACTTTTAAAACATAATAATGTGTTGCTTCTGTTTTTAGTTGGCAGACACCAGCAGAAGTAAATGGAAATCTACAGCGCTATATTCTGTACATCGCCAACGATGAGGAAAATGTTACAGTTTGGAATGTAATATATAATTCTACAGTTCTTTCGCGGGATTATACTATCAGGCACCTTTCTCCTGGCACTGAATACTTCTTTAAGCTAGCAGTAAGTAGCAAATAATACTAATAGTAATACTAATACCAGTATTAGTATATAGTGGGATGACTGAGTGATAAACTGCTTGTAAGCATATGTGAGCGCTGCCACCCCCATCCATCATCATCGGCAATGGTCTCTGTGAACTTCAGTCTGTCAGAACTGCTTGAGCTAGACTTTATTACAGCAGGGGAGTGGGTTACAAAGTACTGATAGGCACCAGCCACGTCCTATTCCCATAGTCCACCCAGGGGGTAAGTTTCCACCACTAGCCGCCTTGGGTCCTTTCAAGGTGAAAGTTTGGGGGGAGGGGAGAAATATTTTAAATGCATTTTTAAAGAAACAGTCTATTCTCTTCTCAGCCCCTAGTTTCATTGGGGTTGGGAGGTTCACAGTCTCTGTTTGGCATCAGGAATTCAATAAAGCCCCTAACTGTCCTGGTGGTTAGGGACCAAGCAGTCGTAAGCTCAAATCCACGCGACGGAGTGAGCTCCCATCGCTTGTCCCAGCTCCCGCCCACCTAGCGGTTCGAAAGCATGCAAATGCAAGTAGATAAATAGGGACCACCTCGGTGGGAAGGTAACAGCGTTCCGTGTCTAAGTCGCACTGGCCATGTGACCACGGAAGATTGTCTTCGGACAAATGCTGGCTCTATGGCTTGGAAACGGGGATGAGCACCGCCTCCTAGAGTCGAACACGACTGGACCAAAATTGTCATTGTGTCCTACACCCTTCAGGGAGATTTTGTAGGACCAGCAACTCAGGACAGGTGCCCAGTTCTTCTTGCTGCCACCTCTGGCACTCCTTTTACACCTTGCGCCTCCAGCGCCTTTTCTGCATTTGGGTGGGAACTTGGTGTTGAAACCTCCACGGGGCCAGTATTAGGGTTGGCAATGCTGGCAGGCTGAATACATAGGTACTGCCCTGCATCCTTTCCTCAGCCCCCACCCAAATCCCTGTCCAGGGGTTCTGCATGTACGTATAGTGCATGTCTTCAGTGGTGCAGAGAACAAGGTTTAACTCTCCCTCAGCCTTGTCCCATTCCTCTCTCCCTTAGACTAATGAGTCTCTCCAAATAATTCTCCTCCCTTTTATTTGTTTATTTAAAATATCTTTACCCTGCCTTTTTGCATAAAAGGACCCAAGGCAGCTTATATCATTTTCTTTTAACCTCAACTGCCCTTCCTTAAACCTCCTCCTCCAGATGTGCCACATCCTTTCTCGCCTCTTCACTGCCATTTGTTGGCTGTCTTCTCAGGTCTGTGTCCTCTTGGGTCCCCAGAACTGGAGTCTCCTCCGGGCCTTCCAGGAGGCCCCCAAAGGGGTGCTTACATTGACCCTCTCACAGCATATGAATATTTCGATTTTATAGATGTGCACTGAAAAACCTTGTTTCTGTACTTTATAAAAAAAACCACCTGCTTCTGCTCTGACTCATTCTGAGTTGGTCTACTTTGTTCCAGATCCCAAATTTAGATTTGAAAATCTTGAAGGTTCATGGCATAGACTGTCACTGGAAATACAATAGGACTATACACTATATTTATGAATGATATTTATAGGCATATTAATCAATTGACTTGGGATTATGCCTTCTAAATCTTATAAAAAAGATTTTTGAATTTCATCTATTTAGATAATTAATGGAATTGGTAGTATTTTTTTTACTCCTTGGCAAAACTGGCAGACATTTATAAGGCCAGTTGCCTCCTTCAAAGACATTAAGACCACTATGTTCAAGATGAACAGATACTGTACAGGCCTTTTTAGGTAATATCAGACTTTCAATTGAGAAAGGACATGCTTTTATCCCTTTTGTTTGGAGGCTAACAGATATCAGGGAAATGTCCTTAAGTGGCCTGCAAAAATGCAGAATGTGTGGGGGGAGGTAGGATAATTCTACTGAAGGGATAACCAATTTTGGGAGAGTTGTTTCTCCTTCCCTCTTCTTGTGTTTTTCTTTGGACAATTGGTATGAAATGGTGCTTAGCATTTTCAAAAAGAGGAGGGGAAGCTCTATGATGGGGTGGGCAGAATGCAGCATTGAGCCCCCAAGGGGTTCTGCATTCTTGTGTTTGCCTCCCAACTCCCCAACACCCATGAACTTCATGGATGCTTGCAAAGCAGTTTAAGACTTCCTACATAGTGATCCATAGCAGCGTTGAAGAGTATGGCCATTTTAGGTCCCATTCTGTGTTGTTGTTTTTTTAATATTTATTCTAAGCAGAATCCATGCAAAGGCAAAATACTGTCAGTTTACTGCTGCTACTTTATTTGAGCGAGGAGCCAGGCAAAAGAAATGTGAGAGCGATAACAATAGAACATAGTGAAGAGGCAGCTGATAGAAGCTGGCAAAAGAAAGAGGTAGCCAAGGAAAAGATATGCATGAGACAAGAATATGCCTTAAATCTTAAAGGAGCTTTGTGGCACAGTGGTTAAACTGCAGTACTGCAGTCAAGACTCTGCTGACAACGTGAGTTACATCCCAACAGGTTCAGGTAGTCAGCTCAAAGCTGACTCAGCCTTCTATCCTTCTAAGATCATTAAATTGAGAATCCAGCTCAATTAAATTGTAAAAAGGCCAGAGAGTGTTTTAAGTGCTATGGGGAGGCATATAATTGGCACACTTTGCTTTAACCTGTGTCTTGACACCTTCAATATCCCTGCCCTAGCACTCCATCCTGGAACTAAGGAGGCAGGCAATGACAGAGCCAGAGTCCCAGGCAGAAACATGCTATAAAGCCCAGTACATATTGTTTTTATTACTAATACCTTGGCCAGGTAAGCATGGCCCCTTGATGGTAAGTGGGAACACTGCAAAGGCAGAAGATGGCCTTGGGGTTGTAGGGATTTATTTTTTGCACAGGGGAAAGAAGTTGGGCAAGAAAGGGCAGAGGGTGAAGCAGGTGGAAATAGCTGGTGATGGAAGCTGGCCGTCTGGCCGAATGAGAAGGAAGAAGGAACCTGGAAATGCCACAAATATGTCTCAAGCCATTGTGGTGGCATTACTGGGATGGTACTTACTAGGATCTGTCACTTGATTCTGCCACTAGCAGGACAGTCGGACAGTCAGAGGCAGACTGGTAAGCAGGTACCAAGCTAATAAGTCAGTGTTGTTGTTCTTGTTATATGGGGTTACCGTACTAAGCAGCAGGAGGTATGCTCTGAGTTCCAGATAATGTACCCCAGTGAACAGCAAGGTTGTTGGGATTATGATCTCTTTGTATATTATTAAAGTACTTACAAAGAAGGTACAAAAAGCCAACAGTGGTGGCCATACATTGCCAATATATATAGGGATTTATATGTGTGCCTAAATTTGGCAGATAGAGGGAACTGAATCTCAGGTTCCTTATATCTTGTTTTTGTTGTTTTTTCACGACACTATTTCTCTGTAACATCACGCAAAACTAAGTCTGTGAAAGTGCAAGGGGATGCATATTGCAAACCAGTAGCATTTTTAAATGCCTTTTAAATGTCATTGCCGTTTTTCTGTGCAGTCATTTTCTTTTGTTTTGTTTTTATTACAGAACAGTTTAAGTTTCATAGTACAACCGAAAAATATCTTGAATATAAACATGAGATTGTCCCTATTTGTTTTGAACACTCTCATCATTTTTATAGTAATACCTATATAAGGACATTTGCTTTGATAAATGCCATAGAAAAATATTCTGCTCTTGATTATGAATACATTTACATTTATGTTTAGACACTCTGTATGCATTCATTTTGTCCAACATGCTCTTGAATACTCTAATATTACACCACATTATACCTCAAAGAAAATAATCTATGTTCAAGTAACAATAAAGGGCTGTCTGAAAAAGCCCACCAAAGCAAGGACATTTGGATTAATTAAGTATGACTTGGAATCCATGTTGATGGTATTTGTTTGTCCTTTGCATATGTCGGCATAGTGAATGGCAAGGAATTATGTACACTTATTGCCGTTCTGTACACAGTTAATACATGCATTACATGTACTCCCACTGGTATAAGTCACAGTTGAACATCTGTGACTAAATAGATGGTAGCTGAGTTTTTGTTGTTCAGGCCATAAATATGAAGTGGCCAGTTACATGGTCTTTTCATACGTATTTGTATGATTCTATCTTATAAGTGGGCACATCCATGGAAAAGATAATAATTCTGGGAGAGGTGAAAGGGAGCAGGAAAAGAGGAAGACCACATATGAGATGGGCTTACTCTATAAAGGAAGCCATAGGCTTGAGTCTGCAGGAGCTGAGTACGGGACAATTTGGAGATCACTCATTCAGAGGTTTGCCATAAGTTGGAAGCAACTTGACAGCATACAACAACAACAACAACAACAAATTATAAATTTTGTTTGTGATAAATAAAGGTCAATTTATTTCTAATGTCTCATCTTCATGGCTAATTTTGTTACTCACAAGCATCGTGCTTTAGTTATAAACATAGCATTATGACTCATTCTTTTCCTTCTAATTACCTCTTTTCTTGATGGAGTACAACATACGTGTTCCTCCCCATTTCATCCCCACATCAACTCTGAAGGTAGACTAAAGTACAAAACTGTAACTGACCTAAAGGCACCCAGTAAAATTCATGGTTGGGTGGGGATTTGAATCTAGATCTCCACTACTGTAGTCTGATACACAAACCGAAAGTGGGGAAACTTTCCTTTTTTTTTTTCTTTCTCATGGTAAAACCATGTCCAGGACCTAATTCTTATGGTGGGCTGGCCACTTTCTGTTCTCTTCTTTCTGTCACCCTTCTTTCTCATTCTGTGTATTGCTGGCCTGCAAGGTAAAAGCCAGAAAGACATGAGATGATTGCTAGCAGAGAACATCTAGATATATGCTAGGGCACCAAGTTGCTTAGTACAGTGGGGACTTGAGAACTTAATCCGTATTGGAAGGCGGTTCTCAAGTCAAAAAGTTCTCAGGTCAAATCTGCATTTCCCATAGGAATGCATTGAAAACTATTTGATCCGTATCTGCTCTTTTCCGTCCATAGAAACTAAT